GTAGGATATTGATTATAAATTTCATAGATTAGCAGTGGTTTTAGTATTTCAAGTGTTAGTTATCTGTTTATCGATTGATTCCTATGCATTGGTGGTTACGTCTTAAATAGTTTTGTTGATTTTTACTGACAGATTGCTGTTTTTTGGAGCATGTGTGTTTGTTATATTAATATGACAGTGATAGAATGTTTTTGTTAATGTCACAGAATTCTTTAAGAACAGAGATGGGCACAAATACATCAGAAAGTATTTTGTTACAAATTACAAATACTTGCTAATCAAATGTATTTAAGAAAGTAATTTGTAATTTGAAAATACAAAAATACAAACAATATTTACAAGCAATCATTTGAAGTGCAAGAGACACTGCCATTACATTTAGCAATACTGGAGTTACAGTATACCTTTAATACATTTAATCTCTGATAGTGCAGCCCAGTGAACTGGAGATTTGAAACAGACCTGCAGTGCTTTGGTAGATGTTATAAATCAAGAATCTATATTTTAGGATGGAATGTAGGACAACTGTCTGCAAAGAGCTACAACTTATCAAAGGTAAGAGGAAAAAAGCATTGTGTGTGTGTGTGTGTAAATGAGAGAGAGAGAGTAAGACTGTTTGTATGCTTATGAGTATGTGAAGCAGCTCTGCAGGTACAGGTCACTTGTTCTCTTTCACAGGCCCAGTGGACTGAGGTTCTGACAGCGGAGAAAAATGATGAGGACATCTTATACTGTTACTTCGCCCTGAGTTCCCTCACATCAAGTGAGCAAAATACACATACACCTCTCTAGCTGTCTTAGTTTCTACTTGTTCTGTTAATTTCTTCATATTACTCACCCATTCACTTTTGTAGTGGGCCATTAGCAGTGTTGGGAAGGTTACTTTGGAAATGTAATAGGTTACAGATTACAAGTTACCCTATTTAAAATGTAATAGTAGTGTAACTTTTTCAATTACTTTATTAAAGTAATGTAACTGATTACTTTTGATTACTTTTTGATTACTTTTCTAAATTTCTAATGCTAATTTAATTACACATTTTTTCTTAGTAACTGTAACTGATTACAGTTACATTTATTTTGTAATTAAATTACGTAACGCCGTTACATGTAACTAGTTACTCCCCAACACTGGCCATTAGTCATCAGAACGAAAAGTAAGACATGTTCAATCCTATTCTTAAGGCTTTTCAATTGCTTCCCTGGAATTCCTCATTTACATTTACTCCTTGAATCCAAAATGAGGAACTAAAATGATGCAAATTAGAATGACAGAATTGAACCTAGTCAGTATTGACATTGGTCTGTTAAGGTTAAGGTTACATTAACAGTCACACAGCTTAATGGGTAATTGGCAATACCTTTATAATAACACAGACCACCAGTTCTGGAATAGAAATACCATTTTTGAGAAACACAGACCTGATGAATCTGCAAAGTTCTTATGAATCAGATTTTGTGACAAGGCCATGTAGATAAATCACACATGTGGCATTAACATCACAGTATATACTCAAACTCTTGATTTCTTAAAGAGTACCACAACTGCTGCTGAACAGTTAAAACCCCTGATAGAAGAAGAGCTTGTTAAAGTTTCGTACCTGTCCTTTGGGATGATCTAGACCAGGGGAGGCGAACGTCGGTCCCGGAGAGCCGCAGCCCTGCAGAGTTTTGCTTAAACCCTAATCAAACACACCTGAACAAGCTAATCAAGGTCTGAAGGGTTACTAGGAAGCTACAGGCAGGTGAGTTTTTATTAGGGTTGGAGCTGAGCTCTGCAGGACTGCGGCTCTCCAGGACCGGAGTTCGCCACCCCTGGTCTAGACTGAGTTATAGATTGTTCCTTATCTAGGTTAGTATCTCAGTGTAAGGTCATCTGGGGCCCTTTCAAGCTCTCAGTCACACTACTGTTGTGCTCTTGTGAATAGTGTTTACTCTTTATGCTTGCATTTCTTTTTAGTAGCACTTAAGTGCTCCTAAAACTCTTCCTAAATCAGTCCAAAAAATGTAGGAGGACCTTGGAGTTTTCTTATCCAATTTTTTTTTTTTTTATGGCAAACTGGGATGTACACTGTACCACCCACCACAACCTTACAGGACACACCCTAGTCCTTACTCCCAGTGTTCCCCTGGGGAGAACTGACAGTGTTGCCCAAATTTTTCCAGGTGGCCAAGGTGTCCAGTGCGCAGAGTTAGTCCATCTAGCCGTCCCTCCCAGAGTGCTGTGGCAAAGCTTCCCTGCTTTCCTGGCCTGTAAGGGTGGCCTCTCCCTAATTGTACAGGCGGTTACAGGTTTCAGACTGGGCACATGACTGGTCTGTCCCACTAGAGTTCTGCACTGAAGCCAGGAACCAATCTGACATAAAGGCCAATTCGCCACAGATTTCTTTTTCTTTTTTTTTCTTTTTTTCTACTTGTTTCTGCGCATTAGTTTTGCATTTTTCATTTGAAAATGTGTTTGTCTTGTTATTAACGTGATTATATTTGATACCATTTTGCTTGTTGGTGACTCTACTATCATCTGTCGTGGTCTCTTCTTAATAAAGATAATCACATGCCTCCAGAAGACTTGATATTGTAGAGATGTTGTTTCACCCGCTGATCACTTTGGGTTCACTTTGAAAATATCATATAACATATAACATATCTGACTTAATACATATGCTTAAAACTTACAACTAAGCTAATTGGTTGAGAGTGTTTTTGTGATGAATTTAATTATTAATTATATGGGTTTTTATGCTCTTGGCTCCTGGTTTCATGCATTACAAATATTTTCTAACAAAATCAATGCTTCTCAAGGACCTTCATAATTATGTCTTATTGAAACACATAGTGTACTCTTTTTCTATTACTGTGGGCTGTTTCCATTCACTGTTCTCTGGTGCGCTGTTATGTTTTTTTTTAGACCACATATTTTTCTCATTCAAAGCCTTAATGACTAAAAACTGAGGCAAACAACAAAAAGGCCAGCTTTAATTATACTGCAGTGTAATTTAGAGAATCAAGAAGTCTTGTGGTACTCTTTAGGAAGTCAGCACTTTCTAATAAAACTGAAGGACTGATAGCAGTGTATTTCGTGTTTCAGATATGGGGCAACTATATAACAAAGACAGTTGAGCAGCAGACCTCCACTTGTATTTAGGGACACATTCTTCCGAGTCTTCATGGGTCTTTGGGTCAGAATATCGCAGTCTGTTTATCAAGGTTTGTACCTTAATGTGGATCACAAGACCTGCTGTGCCAAGTTACTGATAATAATTACACGAATAATTCCTTTTTATTCCTTGAATGCTTTCTTATCCCTGATTTTGATAAAAGATTATGAACACAAATATTTTCCAATAAATTGTGCACAAGACCAGCAATGTGCATTAAGAAAATAAATAGGCTGATTTAAATTTCCTGTTGAAATGATTACTGTGCAACCATAATAAATATTATTTTCTTTCATATAGTGTCTTTGTAATAATTTTTATGACGGTGGTGGTGGATTCAGTTCATTTCTGAAGTGAAACCCATCGACTGTCATTTTCTTTTCTGTTGAGCCACAATTACGGACATTAGGATAATGCACTGCATCTGTTTATCGTTTTGGGGTAAGAAGTGGAGCCCATCTGAAGGTAAGGAATCATGTGAAGAGTACGTTGTTGATATATTCATGTAGTTTTATATCTAAGGGTGCCTGCCACAGGTTTGCTTGTCCTTGGGTGTTCCTCTATGACTAAATATTATGAAAACTGAATGAAAGTACGAGAATAATGGTACTTTCTGGACAAAGTAGATCAATACAGCTGTGACATTCTCACTTTGCCTAATATCTATTATAAACCTCTGTTCAGGCAGATTTATTTCAGGGTTAATTCATGTTTAACATTCTGAAGATTGTCACTGAGAACAGTGAGGCTGTTTGTCTCAGTCTCAAATAAAGCCAAATGACGACTATATGAAAGGAAATTACATTTTTAATATTTGTGGGAGAAAAATGAACATCTCTGGACCTCACTTATCAGTCTCTCTGTCTGGTATTATATATAGTTATGGTAGTGTACTGGGAGCAGTGAGTCGAAGATCACTATTTCTGAGTGTAATGTAATGTGTTAATAACAATATAAGAAAAGCTCTCCAAGAAAACTGAAACTCACACATTTTTTCTATAGTAGTTTATGTTGGGTTTTGCTGGTGTGTATCATTTAGTATTTATATCATTTATAGGGTACAGTTTGTTGAGATTAGGAACTGTTGAAACACTGGGGTAGTTAACAGCAAGTTAGAGCTGTGCTGCTATTAGTGTACATGGAAAGACTTTGCAATACGGTTCTATACATTAGCATTATTAATATATTATGTATTAGATATCATGAACAGTGAACAACATTCTTACAGTTTATTTAATTTATTAATCTACATTTAATGTTCATTTCTACATATACTAACACATCAGTGACAATTCAAGTTGAATAAATGAATGTTTATGAATGCATTATGAACAAACATGAATAACAATGAACAAAAGTACATTTATAAATTAACATTAAGCCAGATTAATACATTCTGTAAATCGCCAGCAAAGGTGCAATGAGAAAATACTTTTTTTTACATCCTAAATTCTTGAAGTTCATATCGAGTATTTTTATGTATAATAATAATAATTCAGCAGCAAGCTATCTAATGCCGTGTTTTCTGTGGAACTCTATGTAGAGATACACTGTGTTCTGACTTCAAAGTTAACCATGCTCATTGGCTCATGCTCATCTGAGACGGTTCTGTTTTGTTCTGTCCTGTCCTCAGCTTTATACTGTTACCCCCTCTTTATTTCCACCCGAACCATATCAAGTGTCCCTTTCAAAGAAGTATTGTGTTGGTCAGAGTCTGCTCCCTCTCCTCCTTCTTATCGCGTGTTTGCTTCAATCACGGTCAGCCAGGAGAATGACTGAACATTGGAAGTCCCACCCACTTTTGTTGGTTATTAAACACTTGGATTTGGATATGGATCAAAACTTGGGATATCTGCTGGAAAAACTGACTGCATTGCAGGTTTGTCTTTCTCCTCATGCCTCAAGTTAAACATGATTCTCATGTGACGGTGGAATTGGTGGCACTGAAAGTAAGCTCGAGTTAACCTATAGCTTGTCTTGCTAACTGCACCTGAAAAAGTGCACTCAGAAAACTTTCAGTACCTTATTTTTGTTATCAAGTTATTGATAATGTGATATTTTTTGTCAGTAGTGAAAAATATTTTTACAATTATGATAAACGTTTGGCAGAAAAGGAAACAGTGATCTTAACTGACATATTGATGTGTGTTTGTTTATACTGTGAATCTTTAAGTTAAGTGAGTATATTTATAGGGCTACACAATGGACCATCCAGATAATGGCTGCATGGATGTTTCTGTCTCCAAATCAATAGACAAATCCCATTTAATTTACTCATGCTATTTATTTTCAGTAGGCTTAGCATTAGTAGTCGCTTGTGGACATCAGTCTCGGTGTCTTCATTTCTTCTATCTGTGTAGAATGAGAAAAGATTCCGGATGCACAAATAAATGGGTTTTAAAAGAGGTTTAATCATAAAAAATATGGGAACTCTTCTACTGACTTTACAGCAGAATTTTAATAGTTTCAGTACTCATTTTTCTTGGATTCCCGCAGACTTTTTGCAGTTGATTCTAGTCAGTGCTTCTTGACTGTAGTATAAACTGAACCTTTAGCTATTGAGACAAATTGATCTGAAGCAGATGTTATTGTGTATGAATAAATAGCTCTGTCAGAGAGCCCACAACATCTTGACACAAGGTCACCTGCATTAGCAACACTTAAAACAATATAATGTCTTTAACCTTTATCTTGGCCTTGAGGTTGCTTGAAGTAATCTGACATGATGAGCTACACAAGCACAAGACATCAAAACAACAGACACTGAGAATAAAAGTATTATTCCTTAGATTTAGACTTCGCTTGTTAGATTTCTGTCTGTATTTTAGAGACAGAGGCAGGTTCAGGCTTGGTTGTTTTCTTCTCTTTTTTTATTAACTTTTTTTTTTCAATTGATCGTACTGTGTAATTATGTTTATAGTAAAAAGTATACTATATTTTTGTCTGTATTTATTCAGTCTGACTGCACAAAAATAAGACTGGACAGTTGATCCTGTGAGCGATGGATGAAGATCTGAACAAGCCGAACACTCACAATGGGAGCGTCTCGGGTGCATTGGAAACCAAAAAGCACGATCAGCCAAAAGCAGCAGTTCTGCAGAAGAATGTGAGAGAGAAAGATAATCTTACTCATTATGAGCACACATAAGAATGTGAAGAATGTTTCATGATCACTGGTTTCCATCCAGACACGGTGCATATGGGTGTGGTAGTGTGTGTGAAGGGTTTAACTGTGGGTTAACCTGGCAGTGCCTGTCGCCATCACTGCGGTGTAATCCCTTCCCTTCCTGACCCGTCTGTCTGTATATTCTTTTGTGACTCCCACTAATGACAAGTTTGACTCTTTATATGTAAATTTGCATACATGAGGACATGGAAGGTCACAGTAATACAAATAGCTTTAGCTTATATTAAAACAAAATAAATTCCGGCAATATAAGGGATATAGACCAAACTACAAGCTTCATTCTCTCTGTGATAATAGTGGATTGAGATCATGTAGATCATTGAAATTAGGGATGCATATGTTGAATTATTATTTGTTACTGTCGATAACCGATTAATTGGCAATTCTATATAAAATAAACACTAAAAACTAGAATCGATCCTGTTAAATGCTATGAATGAATTTAGACACAACAACATTATAACAAAATGTATTATAACTGGAAAAGGACATCATGATGGGAAAGATCGAGGGTACAAGGTGCAGAGGAAGACAATACATTAACAACAACGACAGGATGACACTGGAGGATCTCATCAGACTGGCTAAAACTGAATTCTTTTTTAATGCTTTAGTCTATATATATATATATATATACATATATGACAAAGCTAACCTGAATGTACAAAATAAAGTAAATGAGCATTAAAGTATCCAACAAATATTGCTACAGTAAAAAATATATACAAAAATCTTATGTGGTATCGATACATCATGCATCCCTAATTTTAATTTCATGATAACTGAATTGCTATACATAATGAATGAAACCAAGACCCTTTAACCTCAAGTCGTACTGAATGTCTCAGGTGGGTCTCGTAAGTGGCATCTGTCTGATAGTGGGAACAATGATCGGCTCGGGGATCTTCATTTCTCCCAAAGCGGTTCTGGAGGGGACTGGAGCAGTGGGTCCATGTCTGTGTGTGTGGGCGGCGTGTGGTGTGCTGGCTACGCTGGGTCAGTATACGCACAACAGACACAGTATCTATAAGCTTGTATAAAAGCCTTGATAAACCCTCATAACAAAGATAAATGGGTGAGATTAAGCACTGTCACCTCATGTATCGTGTCATGTTTGTTTTGGCTGTTTGATAATCTGTCCATATGACGTAACAATAAGATTCACTGTTTCTTAAAGCAAAGTACAATTATTTTCTAATATAGTATAACGTCATTTATGTCCATAGGTTGCTGCTTTATTAATTGGTGCTATATACAGTATGTTTTATTGCTAACACATAAGGTTCAGTTAATTAACAATAGATAATGCATTAGATATCATAAACAATGAACAGTATTGTATTTATGCTAATGTTCAAAAATGCTGCTGTTCAACGTTAATTCGTTTTTCTTCATAATACATAAATACATACTAAAATTAATTTATGACAATTGAAATTTTAAGCAGCATATTTCAAAATTAAAATTAACCAAGATTGTTAGTTCATTCTGCCAGATGTATTAAACAATGTTAGAACCTTTTTTGCTCCATCCATTGCAGCTGTTGTTTTACTGCATTATGTGTTACAAATATCTAAATCGCAATCTTTAGTTTACCCTGCACTTTCTGCTGAGATTATAGTTGGGCAAAGGCAAGGAGGTTAATCAGATATGTTCACTCACTCGGAAACCCTCAGTCAGTCTTTTTAAGCCACATAATGTTTGGGAAAATTCACAAGACACCGAAATCCTCTTTAGTTTAATACTGACTCTGCCTGCAGAAGACCTTTCAGTAACGGACTCATTGACCTCAGCTTGAACACTGAGAAACTAAGAGGTTTACCTGTGCATGCGTGTGCAGGGGCCCTCTGCTATGCTGAACTAGGCACAATGATCATGAAGTCTGGTGGAGAGTATCCGTACCTGATGGAGGGTTTTGGGCCAGTGCTGGCATACCTATATTCCTGGAGCACGATCATCGTTTTAAAGCCTTCGTCATTTGCCATCATCGCCCTGAGTTGTGCCGAATACGCCTCCACACCGTTTTACCCAGGGTGCACTCCTCCTCAAGTGGTCACCAAGTGCCTGGCTGCAGCTTGTATCTGTATGTACAGGCCTAGGCCCTTTTTATATTCAAATGACATTATACTGGACTCAACTGTTGTCTGTTCTCTCCATCAGTAATAATTACAGTCGTCAACTGTCTGAGTGTGAAGCTGGCGTACAGAGTGCAGAACTTTTTCACAGCAGCCAAACTCTTGATTATTGTCATCATTGTGGTTTCAGGCATCGTTCTGCTGGCTCAAGGTATACCTCTCCATCCCCTGAGATCTCTGTCTCTGTCTTTGTGATATTCATTTTTATTGACACCTGACTTATGTGACATTGCAAACAACATTAGTATTTTATTTTTCAATTGAACGGACTGGGATCAAATACATTTTGATAAAGAAATGATTATTTTATTATGTTGTGAAAGATTACTCATCATAGACTATGGCCAGAGACAGTGTAAATGTTCAATGACAGATCAATAAAATGTGTCTTTTTATTGTTAAAATTGTTTTATAGGCAATACACAGAATCTTAGAGACCCATTTGCAGGGGCAACAACATCATTTGGAGCAATTGGCCTTGCGTTTTACAATGGACTATGGGCTTATGATGGATGGTAAAGTATTGATGAGCTCATATAATGTTGCACATGTGGCATATGAGGCTAATGCTAAGCAGCAGTCTTCATCTTTTTGAAACTTTGAATACACACAGATTCTTCCTGTTCTTAGAATCTAATAGATTCATAGAATCAACATTCTAGTGTGCTTTCAGCCCTGGGAATCATTCACACAATCTAATGATTTCTCTGTTAAAGCAACATCTGATAAGAGTGGATTTTCAGCAACTGTGAGAGATGTGCTGAAATGGGAAAAGGGAATTGAATGCTTGTCGAAACTTCCATACAGTAGGATCTTTTTTTTTGTTGCCTGGACTTTCACCAGATCATTCTCAATCCAGGGCTTTATTGTTCTGAGAGAAGCATGCACAAGACTACAAGTCAGCTTCAGTCAGCTATGGCAATTCTTTTTAAAGTCCTTTTGTCTTTCTCATAGGAATCAGCTTAACTTCATAACAGAAGAGCTGAAAAATCCATACAGGTCAGACTGAAATGAAACTACATTTTTATTCTGTTTTTT